TACGCTAAAGTGCTACTATACGACATATGTACATAATATGTGTAGGTACATTTAATAAAGACATTCTGTATGTAATATATAAAACGCATTCTTCATTATCTATACACAGATATTACCTACCTTCCTCTTATGATAAATTTACAAACAAAAATTATAATTATACAAACGAAAATTATACTTAATTATTGTATAATTTTATTAACAATTGTAGTTATTACAATTACATGATTTAATTATAACTGAAAATTTATTTTTGATACAATATAATTTATATCCAGTACAATTATTATCTATATTATACAAAATAATTAATATATACATATAATATATTACGAATATAAATTGTGTATTCATATTTAATGCGTGCGTGTGTATGTGTACACATTATTGCCATCTGCAAACAAAACGCACTTATGAAATATGCTTTATCATGTTTTCTACGATTGTTTTAATCATAATATTATATTATTCAGCTACACATGATTCATAATTTATATCACGAAATTAATGCGCAATAAATGTTATGTTATGTAATAATAATGCTTCGTTTTAAACATTATTTCTTTTCTAAAATAATATCTAAACATACGCTGAAAATAAATTAAAGCATATTGATTCATAAAAATTTCAAATAAAATTTCACAAATTTTATTTATATAATTGTACTGTTATAGTGACCATAATGTTTATAATTTTTCGGATAAACAAAATATTTCCTTAAAATTTAATGAAAATAGTGTTTTATTATTTATCTTTTATATACAATTATTATTAAAGTATTAATCAAAGAAAAATGATGTCTATGCGAGCAAGACACTGGATGTCCGCATGCAAAATATTTATTATTTAATACAAAATATACAATTTGTGCTTGACTTGCATAGACATCATTTTTCTTTGCTTTATTCTTTGGAGCCTATCAATTCTTTTTATTGTATTAAAGTATCATTTAACACGATTGAAAAATATTTACCATCAGGAAAATAATCTCACAAAAATAAATATATTACAAAATTCATATGATGGTAGAAAAAAGTAAATCAAAGAAAAAACAGATTTACTAAAAAAAAAAAAACTAAAAATTTCGTAATTAAATTGCGACCGAGTAACAACAAAAAATTCATCAAAAAAAAAAGTAAAGAAAAATCTCATAGTTAAATCGGTCGGATTATACTCCAAAGACCGCCTTCTACATTGGCCAGGAAGGACGAAGATATCATTTTTAAAGGTAACTGTGTCTTTGGAGAAAGCTCTATGCTATACTTTTTCAAGAACGCAGTCAGACACGCTTTCATCTGCAGTTGAGCCATTCTCATGCCTACGCACATTCGAGGGCCCTCGCCGAAAGGAAGAAAGGTAAATTTTTCGATGTTATGCTTTCTATCTGGGCCAAACCTATCGGGATCGAACTCTTTGGGATTCTCCCAGTATCGTGGATCTATCTGTAGGCCGCTAATTGGTATCAAGATGTGCATTCCACGTTCTACGTGACAGACGAGCCCATCGGACCCTCTTAACTCAGTCGCCTCTGTGCAAACCTTGCTTAGGAATCCCAGAGTAGGTGTGAATCTCATCGACTCATTTATTACCTGATCCATATATGTCATATCCTTCAAGGCTTCATAAGTAATCACACCATCGTATTTATTCAACACAGACACCACCTCCTCGCGTAACTTTTCCTGCACTTTTGGGTTATTAGCCAAGTGGAAACCCACAAAACTTAAGACTGAGCTGGAAGTTTCATAACCGTCGACGAAAAATGACACCGCATGGGACGTGAGAATTTCTAAGTCAAACTTATCGCCTTCCATTCGTTCCAGATCAGTCATCAATTGGAGAAAATCGTTTCTGGGTGTCGTCTCCTTCCTTCTTTGTTCCATAACATTTGCAATGATAGCTCTAAAGAATTGATCAGCCTTTTTTGGTAAAAATCTCGTCTTGAAAATTTTGCCCAACGCCGGTATAAAAAACACAAAAGTGAAGATAATGTTGTTCAAAACAGTCGAATCGAGGAAGGACTTGCCCATTGCGTAGAAAGAATCTTTCTCTTTCTCTTCGTCGAAGCTTAAGCCATCGACGCCAAAACCAGCGTTAGATACCACCTGCGAGGTGAATCTAGAGAACAATTCTTTTAGCTCTAACTCCACTTTTCCAGCTTTATCTAGTTTTTTGTCCAGATAGCCTTCGAATGTCTGGCACACCTGCTTGACGGTCTCAAGCAGGATTTTTAGTCGCATGCTGGAGAATGCATAGGTCAAGCGCTTTCTCCCGGTAATCCATTTTTCACCGTAGGTGAAGAAGGGATTGTTCGCCAGAAGAGGGTCCAATTTGGGATCGAGCTTCAAGCCGTTCTCGTGGAAGTTCGTAAAACTCGTCTGCAGCACTGTCTTTACCAGTTCCGGCTCGCGGACTACTAACGTCGGCGTCATGAAATTGTAGATTCCTATCATGCTGCGATCCCGATATGTATTGTAGATTCTGCAACACAACTCGCTTATAGTGATTTTTTGTATGGCGATTTCCCAGAAGTGACCGACACCAGGCAAGACTCCATTCGGACAAGGTATTCCACGTTTTTGCCAATATTTATAATTTTTCGTCAAAAAGAAATAGAGAATCACCAGAACTATAAGAATCGACAACACGAGAGTGACAGCCATATTACTGCTTTCGAAAAGGACTGAACGATACTGAGTGGTTCAATATCCAAGAAATGTTCGTCAAATGACTGTTATCAGTTGCAATTGCTTCACACAGAAATAACACTTGCAGTTGGTAGCGAAATAAACGAGCGAAATGGCAGGATGACGAATGCGTAGATAATCTGAGCTTGTTATGCATTTATTATGTGATGTCGCACAGTGTATACCGGAAACATCATTCACTATCTTAAATATAAAAAATAATCTCGTAATATATTATCAGTTGTTGAATATAGCTTAATTATTTTTATATTACATATAGGCGAACTTGATATTGAAACGATTCTTGTGCGCTATCCTATATTAAATGCTATAACTAGTGATTCAGTAGTGCAATTGTCTATTGGCTATTATTTAATAAGATAATGTATCATATATATCTGTGTACGTTTTCACCGTACAATGTTTTATATAATTTTTATAATGTATATAATATATAGAATTACATAAATTTTGTCTCTCTTATCGCCTACACAACGATTAATTTATTTATAGTTATACTCTGATAGCAAATAGCGAAATGGATGTAGCAATCTTTTTTAATAAAATCAATATAAGGTCAAGTTTGATAAACAGCTATGCTTTCTTGACACCGCGATCGTTACTCTAATAGCACAGTTATAAGTTGAAATTAAAAATATAGATATGGCGCTTGAACAAACAATCATGAGTATAATCTACAAATAGTATGTTTTCCAAAATAATTATCTCTTTTATACAATTTCTCATCCCATTTTTTTATACAAAAAAGAAAATTTTTCAATTAAATATAAATATTCTCCAAAAAAATGGCTACTCCATTGATTTAATTTTTATCAACATTAAAAAAAATTAAACGCAAAATTTAAACAACTAAGTAATACCGAATCAAATAATAATAGCAAATCTTTAATGGAAAATTTTTAATGAAAATCCGAAAACATTTGTTACAATTCTATATACACCGATTTTAGTTGAATAATTAAAAAAATTTTTGTAGGATTTTCATATAATGAGACGAGTCTAAATAAATTAAGCAATTTTATTAAAGTTCATAAAGACAAAATACCATTACTCTCACGTTTTAATGTTGTATATAAAATTAATTGTTGTGATTGCGATTAAATAAGAGATAAAGAGATAAAGAGATAAAGAGATAAAGAGATAAAGAGATAAAGAGATAAAGAGAATACTAAAAATCAAAATAGGAAAACATTGCAATCACATTAACACAAATACAACTCAACACTCGGTAATAACTGAATTGAATACAATCGTAATTTTAATTGGAACAACATTAGAATCTTAGATGAAGAAAAATCACTAAAAGAAAAGATTAAAATCTCGGAAGCTACTTTTATTAAAAAATAAAAGAAGAGTTCAAATTTACAAAACAAATGTGATATGTTGGATTCATTGTATTATGATTATTTTAAAAATGTTAACATCTCTATATTTTTATCTTAATATCATATTTATAATGCAATCAACACATGACGTTTTAGGCTTTGTTCCAAAATTAACTACCAGTATTATAGAAAATATATAGTAATGTAGACTATAGCATTTTCAATACTGGCAGTAAATTTGGAACACGGCCTTACTCATCAGTTATTCTGTCGACAATATAAATTTAAATATTGTTTAAGTATCAATTAAACATATATATTTAAATATCATTTCTGAAGTACACTGGCGAAGTACAGAAATGCCTTTACACATTCAAGATGTAGATGCATTTCGGAACACAGTTGAAATGCATACAAACTGTATGCGTTTCGACTGTGTTTTGACATGCATTCATCTGGATTGTGTAAAAGGGGTGAACCCATAGGAATACACCATATGATTGTTTATAAATTTTTTTCATTAAACGTAAAATAAATATATATCGAGAATTAAATTTAAAACTTATATAAATTCAATCTTTGATAATTTCGTATTCTTCTGAATTAAATCCTACCTTGCGTTCAATAGTATACTTTCAATTATCAAGTTCAATTATCAAGTTATTACTAAAACGTTAATGAATAAAAAAAAACAACGTCAACAAAAATAAGAATAGAAACTTTCGGAATTTTTAATTTGAATGTATTATCTAATAAAAAATTGTTTTTTACATAATTTTTCGGATATGTTAAGCTAGTTTTCATAATTGCGTGACCATAAAAAGCAAGATTATGAAGAGGATTACCGATAGAAGATATGCAGTGAATTTTGGAATACAATAATACAGTCTGTGTATAATTTCTGACGACTGAGATATCGACTAACGACCGTATCGATCAAACAATACGGTTCATAAGTATCGAGAACATGGCGTCAAACGTAGCCGCAGAAAGCAAACGGGCTACGAATCTAAACGCCTGTGCTGTTTATGGCAGGTAAATAATTAATAGCAATTTTGTAAAACTACGCTGCTCGAGATGATTGAAAGGCCACTGCTCACAATACTTAAAAATATGCGCCAAGATTTCGAGAATTTCTCTTCAAGCTCAATCTTCAGCGAATGTTTGAAGAGTTTATTCTCAAACTGTCTTGAACTTGTATTCGGGAAAAAGAGAGATTGCTAGAGTTTATTATATTTTTATAACTTTAAAATTTATTTTTTTATTTATGTCTTATCTTATTGATGATTAATAGGGTAACTCCGATATATACGCTGCACCTATCAAAAATTTAATTTCTTAAGTATTATTTACTATGTTTAAAGTAAACAAAAACTGTATCAATAAAAACATTGTACTGTCTAATATTATGAAAAAACTATTGGAAATCGGAAATATTTATATTTCGTATTAAAAAATGAAACCCTTGTATTTTTGCCGTATGTAAATAAGTTGTAAAGTGATACAATAACTTATAAAATGCGTTTATAAAGTTTTATTAAGGAATAAGAATAATAAATATGTATATAAAGTAATAAATAATAATTCCAATCTTCTCACATGTATTACAAGTGTTATAACATGAGGTACATATTTCATATAATCGCGTTTATTGCATTTAATGCACTGAATTAAATCTGCTCACTTTGTATACTTTGGGCATAAATCCCCGCTAAAAATGCCGTATATCCCAAATAGGTGGGATATACAAGATAACAACTTAAACAAAGAAAGAACAAGAGCAAAGTATTTATATTTTGTTATATAACATATACTTTATTATTCCTCTACTCTAGTATCTTCCTCTATTACTTCTCATGTATCACGAAATTACCATTAAGTCTTTTGTACGTCCTACAATAATCATTTTATGTAGATTATAATTTATGATGGCGCTACTCAACACAGCGACAAATTCAACTCACAATAATTTTATTAATATTAACAGTAAAAAATTGAAATCATAATACAATACTAATATAACATAAAGGCATGTAACAAAGTAGTTGCGGGAAAATTATCCCCATTCCTTCTATTTTTTTCTGACTTCTGCGGAATAAATCCCAGCGCGGCGTATTTGCCGGAGTTATCCTAAAATTATTATTTTATAAACATCTTATTTAAGACAATTTGCGTAAACACAGTAGCTTCCTTAATTAATTTTGAAATATTTATGTAAAATAATTAAGAAATAATCTCAGCAATATTAAAATATTGGCGTTGATTAATTCTTTCATAATCGTGATTAAATAATTGATGACTATAGAGTGCCATCGGTCGGGATGGATCGGACAAGAATCACGTTTTGCACAGACGTAGACAAATCTGTGATCGTACACAACTTCGAAAAACGTGGCTGGACGCAGGTTGGTCCGGAGGATGATTGGAATTTTTATTGGTAATCATAAATTATAACACAAGATTTGCATATTATTTGAGAATTGATTATAACGTTCTATTATTTATTATAGGGCTGTTACATTATCCTGCAGGAATATTTTCAGCGTTGAAATTGGATACAGGATGGATGATATATATATATATATTAATAAGCTACAAAGAATTCAGTTGATCAAAGTATGTATTCTCAGATAAAAGTATGACATTCAAATTATTATAATTCCATATAATTATTATATTGACAATGCTTACTTACTCATTTCCACTGTATATTTGATTAATATGTATTATATCTTTTAAAATTGCCGTATTATCTGCTCTTTTTGTTGAAACTGATAGAGTTCTTTGGTTCCAATGAAATGTAATATTCAACGAAATGTAATATTAAAGAATTTTGAAGAAAAATATTTATTTATGCTATTAGAATCATTAATCACTTCCCAAATCACTATGAGCTTACGCGCAAGGATTTACTGGTAAAAAACATCAAGCGATACCGGAAGGACTTGGAAAGAGAGGGAAATCCATTGGCAGAACGCGAGGAAGGTCCAGGCAAATATTTGTACCTCGACTTCATACCTGTCACTTTTGTCTTACCAGCTGGTGAGCCCAAGATTAAGTTTTTAAAAATTAAAGTAAAGAATTGATTCGAAAATTTCTTGACAAAAGCTAACCCGATAACTGTTTCGTAAATAAAAAGTTCAGTCTTAAATTTAAAATTTTTTAATTGGTATAAGATCGACAAATAATAGACACGCAATTTATTGAACTGAACATTGTAAAAATTTGCACAATTTATTATTGGGCATCAAAACCTGCCTTAACCTGATATGATCCTCTTCACTCATTTGTGTTAAACATTTCGATCAATTTTCACACTATGTATGTTTTATTTATGATATTTTAAATGAGAATTATTTTATTTTTGAATTTCACAGTATATTATGCCATAGATTACAATATGTTCGTGGAAGAATATCGCAAGTCTCCGCAGAGCACCTGGATCATGAAGCCATGCGGCAAATCGCAGGGTGCCGGGATATTTCTTATTAATAAGCTAAGCAAGCTGAAGAAGTGGTCACGCGAGGCAAAGACACCATTCAATCCAAACTTGACAAAAGAATCATATGTCATATCCAGGTAATTATTTTATAATTATAATTTTAATCAAAGACGTTTCGATTATAAGGATGTCCTTCATGAAATTCTAGCGATGGAGATGATTAGTAACAGTCAATTAAAGCTATTAATTTCTTTCTTTTCGAACCATTTCATTATTTTAACATTTCTTACGGTAGATATATCGACAATCCGCTGTTAATCGGCAGCAAGAAATTCGACCTCCGATTGTACGTTCTCATCACGTCATTTCGACCGCTTAAAGCGTATCTCTTTAAATTAGGATTCTGCCGATTTTGCACCGTCAAGTACGATACCAGCGTTCAAGAGCTCGACAACATGTACGTGCATCTAACAAATGTGTCCGTGCAAAAGCATGGCGTATGTATCATGTACACTTATCAAATTATTCGTAACAGTACTGTCTTTGATTGCTAAAAATTAATATGTCCTATTATAGATCATTTCAGTAATATTGTAACAACATTCCAATATAATATTTAAATTTGAATATTGCAGCAATATTGTTGCAATTTTTGTATATATATTATATAAATATTGCACACTATTAAAATATTATTGCAATATTCCTGCAATATTTCGTGCTGTAGGGGTATCTTCCCTCCCTTTATGGAAAATAGTTTTCTATTTTACTTTAAAATTAAATTTACAAAATAATCTTTATTAAATTAGACAATTAAGTAAGTCAATTTAGATATCAGAATGTTTAATATAAACACATGATTTTTTAAGGAAGCCTAAACTAAGTTACATAGCGCTCAGTAAGCGGTTTTTTGGCAGTCTAAAAAAATACCTTTAAAATCTTAGATTTCATCGCGTTTCTGTAATCTCTGGATATTTAGTTTTTCAACATTTTAACTTTCAATGAGTTTGTACGGATACTTAATGTATTAATCAACACGAAAATTGTTGCATACGGGAATTTCAGGACGAGTATAACAGCAAGCACGGCGGTAAACTGAGCGTGCAGAATCTGCGTTTATACTTGGAGAGCACGCGTGGGAAGGCGGTTACAGAAAAGCTGTTCGCCAACATCTCCTGGTGCATCGTGCATTCGTTGAAAGCGGTAGCTCCAGTGATGGCAAACGACCGACACTGTTTCGAATGCTACGGATATGACATCATCATCGATAATAAGTTAAAACCATGGCTGATCGAGGTGCATTGATTTCTCATCTTTCATCACAAGTGTCCTCCGACAATGAGTTTTTAATATGTTGTATTTTAAACTTAAATATATATTTTAAGCTCATTACCCAGTAAACGAAAATGGATTAAAATGAATTAAAATTTTTTTAATGCGTACTTTAAATCCATGAAAATAGATTGAATAGATTGAAATGGATTAGATCCGAGTTGACACTAGTTTAATATTCGAAAAACAAAACATTCATATTTTAAGTTTACAAATTTTATTTTTCTAAGACATTTACAATAATTATACCTGAAATTAACTACTTCAAATTGGTATTTAAAAAATGCACCTTAGTGGGATTCGAGAACCTCTGGATTATGAATCTTCTACGTTATCCGCTACACCCACTTCTTCAATTGATAAATGTGTTATTCATTCTCTACTTCAATTACAACCAGCTAAGCTAGTAACGAAATTAAAAAGATATAATAAAAATATCATCATTTAACAGATATAATAAAGTATAAACAATTTACATTACTACAACATAAGTGTCGGATAATCTAATCTCGCTTGGCCTAATGTCGCGCGCCGTGATTAGCCTAATATTCAGGCTGTGTTCGACTAGGTTTGCGAATGTTCACATTGATCATTCATTTTACTTTTAATCAAAGAGAAACAAAAGAACATAGCTCAATTATTTTTACGTTACAACTTTTTTGAGCTTAGTTGGATTAAAACAAAAAATTTCCTACTTATAATTTTGAATAATTTAAGTAGCATTTATGGTCTATTTTTAAGTAAAAACTTTTTTTATTTAATTAGATTGAAAAACTGCATTTCTTATTCAGAATATTAAATTGAGCAGTATTCACGATGCACACACAAAATACTATAATATTATTTTTAGATTGAAAGACATAGAAATATACTCCATGCCATTCTTATAAATGAATAAAAATGCATTAAAGATTGAAAAGGAACAGACATTTATTTCATGCAATTCCTATAAATAAATAAAAATGTATTCAAGATTGAAAAGGATTTATTTTAACATTCATAAATCAATATTTCTAAAAATCTGAATCCATTTTAATCCATTTCAATCCTTTCTTGTTTGCTGGATAAAATCGGAGGAGAACAGATGTGATATTATGCTAATAAATTGTGTTGAGGATTTTCCCGTGATAGATGACGATGAGGACAAATACATTTTAAGAAAATTTTGTTAAATATTATATAATCTAGGAAAATTTTATCGCAAACAATTAAAATAATACTTATGTAATAGCAAGTGAATATATATAAAAGGTCATGATATCAAGAAATAAAAGTTAAACATAAATGATTTAAAATGCACATGCATAAGCGACGAAATCAGTAATTATATAACGCAACGACACTATATATATATATATATATATAGTATCGTTACATTATATAATTACTGATTTCGATTATATATATATATATATAGTGTCGTTGCATTATATAATTATACATACTTAAATATACATTGATTTCATTCTACGTACGCTATTTTGTGTATGCATTTTAAATCATTCTTATTTGACTTTCATATCTTGATACCATGATCTTATTCTATATTTAACTATTATACAAATGTTCTAATTACCTGGTGATTATATAACAAATATAACTGATATGACATATATGAAATATTCTTCAAATGTATTTATTGTCCCCTCCCCCCCTGTCATATTGTCTCCTATGATCTCTTATTACAGGAAGATACAAACAGAACGTATTACATTAAAAAATCAGACTTATGGATAGGTAAAAGTATTAGTACGTTGCATTTGTATAGATGCATCTGTAATTAATTCTGGAAAATAATTTTTTAGAAAATAATTTTATTATTTATAATTAAATTCATAATAAAATAATCTTTAATTTGATAAAAAAATTTTAAATTAAAAAAAAATGTGATAATGCATTAAAAAATTAAAAATTTAAAACAATTTTTTATGATTTTAAAGTATTTTTGAAATGTAACTCTCATATATTTTTTTGTCAGTAAAATCTTCAAATTTCGAAAACATCAAAATTTTGGTTTTTTTTCACAGGTAAACGCCTCGCCGTCTCTTACATCCACGACAGTAAATGATAGGATCTTGAAGTATAAATTAATCGACAATATCATATCGGTGGTTCTGCCTCCGGATGGTATGCCCGAGTAAGTGTACAATATATTCTAATAAAAATCAAAATTTCCAGTAAGTTTACGAGATTAAAATTTACGGTTTTGATTTGATTAGCGTGAAATGGAATAAATTACCTTCGCCAGAAGCTTTAGGTAACTTCGAGTTATTGCTCGATGAGGAATTGGCAGTTCAGGACGAGAGGGAGAGTTCATCGAGCAAGTATCGCGGTTCTTCTCTTAACAAATGGAAATAGATTTTATCCTTGTATGATTATTTACTTCAATTATTCCCTAAAATTACGCTTGAAGCGCCAGATAAAGGAACAATGCAAGATTGGAAAGTTGAATTTCGGAAAGTCGATATTTTTATTCCCATGAATGATAGTAAAAATAAAGATTACAAAAAGGAACAGGGAGGAAAAGGAAGGCTCTTAATCAAAATGGAAAGCTGAAAAAATCTTATACTAGAGGATCAACAGCGAACCTTTCCTGTGCTTGTGTTTCTTCACTAACAGGACAGGTTTCTTCCTGGTGTCCCTCAAGAAAGAACTTACAAGAGGAGTAAGAAGGATAATGTGATACTGAAAAAACAAGTAGCCAGAAAAATCAAGAGGCTTGGAAGAGAATACAAACAAAACGTGCGTAGTAAATTCCCTGGTTTGTGAACTTTAAGTCCCTTATGCTCTTGCAGTAGTAAAAATCACATTACACCAATGAATTCCCGTGCGTGTAACCCCCCCCCCCCTACACACATTCCCCTAATAGTCTACTATATTACCTAATATACCTAATATATAAGTAGTGCAACCTTTTCCGGAATAATCATGTATTTTATATAATTTAATTTCATTATTAGAGTATTTTTATTAATTGTCTTTAAAACATAGAAAAATAGTCTAAAAAAACTATTTATATTTTTATATATTTTTATATATATTCTTAATATGTGTAAATATTTTTATATATTTTCTTTCTTTAGTTTAGAACGCTTAAGTAGTGTTATTGTCGCTACTAAAACCCGTATCAGACTATCGATTCTGCAGGTCAATTGACAACCAACTCTGACTATCAATCTATTATGGATCATTATAATGAGGCTGACTAATTGTGATTGGTTCACTGTAGATCAGTTTGCAAAGTTGATTGTTTGACGAGCTTTAGTAGCGACATAACAGATATATTTAAAATGTTCTATCCTGAACAATGGTAAACTCACGATTGTCATAGTTGATATTTGTATTGTAATAATTATTTGCATCATAAATAGGTATATCATTTCTAGATAATCTTCTTATTACATTTTTTGCAATGATTACGAAGAGAACTCCAAGTACTAAACGTCCTATTGCATAACTTTTCAGTACAGGCATAAGCAACATTTTTTGTATGTAAATAACGCATACGATAGTACATTAATTTTCTCATTAGTAGCTTTGAATATTTAGGACAACAAGCTTCCATTGTACTTTACATTATTTAAAACATATAAAAACTGTATATCTTTTTATTTTAACGAAATTGAAAGTTAGGAAAAAATAGAAAATTATTCACTTTCATCTGCATTCAAAGCTAGAATTTGTTGACAAATGTGTAATTATTGAAGATTTGCAATCGGTACTTTCATTACTTATATTTTGCAAAGAATCTCTCGCTCATTTGATGCTGATAATTTTTGTTAAAATTTTTGCATTCATAAATTTCTTCTTCAGTACATATCCAAATTGCTTCATGAGATGGGATATGCAGCATTCAAACATAAAAAGACTATAATAAAAAAAATGTCAATATAAAGTGGAACAAATAAAATCATTCTTAAATCATCTGAGATCGAGATTTTTATCATGATTAAAAAATGACATAAATTAGATCACTATGACGTCAAATTGACATTATTTTTATTTTCTTGTTTTCCTTAGGTTAGTTAATAAATACCAGCGTATAATTTCGTTTCCATCCGATATCCTTTTTTTAAATATAAACAAATGAAATCGAGGATGAAATCACGGTCATTATCATTTTCTAACTTACAAGGAAAACCCCAGATCTGATACCTTAAAACTTAGATGTCAATTTTTTTGGTAACTCTACAGGTCAAAAAAGAAATTCTGTGTTCGGTAATTTTTACGAACCTCGAATATTCTAAACTTATATTTTTTGGATCTTTAATGCTTTAAGTAATTCAATGTGAATTATATATATATATATATATATTCTTATTGCTTATATTTTTTGTTACGCAGTTTATTATATAATGTCGCACAGCATATTAAAAACTCATTTATCTTAAAGATTAAAAATAGTCAGTAATATATTATCACTTGTTGAATATAACTTAATTATTTTTATATTATATTATATATATAGGATGTTTGGTATTTAAATGTTAAAATTTCGAGAGCGTGTAGAGGATTGATAAAGAAAAAAAATCCTGTAGAGATATGTTCGTTTTTGTTTCGTTTTGGAGAAAATTGAAAAAAAGACAAAACGTAATTTTCATTTTTGTATTTTCTTATTACTTACGTTATTATTTACGTTATATTTATTCACTTGTTTAGATATACTTGTGTAGATATTATTCAAGATATTATTGTTTTTTTTGAGATTTTCTTCAAAATGAAACAAAAACGAACATATTTCTACAAGACTTTTTTTCTTAGTTTATTGATGCACGCTCCCGAAGTTTTAATTCCAGACACCTTGTAGATGAACTTGACATTGATATTGAAACGATTCTTGTTTCTTACAATATTTGTTTAATATATCAATATATAATATATAAAATTACACATATATTTTGTTTCTTTTATCGCATACACGACGATTAATTTATCTATATGTATATACTCTGGTATAAGCAAATAGCGAAATATAGCAATCTTTTTTATCAGATCAAATCAATGTAAAGTCAATTTCGATAAACAACTCAAGCGATGCTTTTTTTATACCGCAATCATTATTTTAGCGATGTTTTATGAGGATGGAAAAATAACCATTATAAAATAACCATTATAAAATAATCAATAAAATACCAAAGATACAAGTAGCCACGTTTGGATATTGTTATTCATTCAGATATATATAAGTTATATGTAAGTTCGGATATTGCTGCTCATTCGGATATAAGTTTGACTTTGTTGTTAATATTATTTTAATTGGAGTTAAATATACTGAGTGACTTTGCTGAAGTCTTAGGATAAGATAATATAGGAAGTAATATAGTGTAATCAATATTATTATGTTAAAATGTGTGCTAAAATATGCGTTAAAATATATAACAAGATACATTTATTGTAAAGAAATTATGTAGCCTGGAAGCCATCTAAAGCCGTTAGGCAAGAATTAATAAATACAAATACAAATACAAATACAAATACATTACTTAATAGCACAGTTGCAAGTTAAAATAAAAAATATATAACGCTTAAACAAGCAATAAGTAATAGGCTATAAATAGTGCAATCTTTTTCAAGATAATCTTCTGATCTTTTATGTAACTTAATTTCATTATTAGAGTATTTTTATTATTTCTAATACAATATAAAAATACAGTCTAAAAAACTATTTAAAAGTATTTAAATATATTTTCTTTTTTCAATGCAAGGATAAACTTGATTTGTACAATCGCGAAAAAATGTTAAGAAGATTGTTCAATCTTTTCATATAAAAACAAAGTTTTGATCAAATATTGAAAATAAATTAATATGTAGGCATTCTTGAATTTTTCAGATTTTTTGACCGTATAGTTTTCTTTAAATAATTTTCTGAAATAGCTTAAATTCTTAAGAAAAGGAGGATTTTAAATAATTTAATTGCATACGAAATATAAGAATATATATTATTATTTTTAAAGAATTATAAAAGAATGAAATTTAAAGTACAACTTGAAATTAAAAAAATGAGATTTCACCATATTATTTTTTGTGTAAAATTAGAGTACGATAAATTTTTATTAATTCTCTTTAATTATGAAGTCACGCAAGTAAAAACATAGCGTCATTTCCAGAATTATCAATATATAAATTAAATTAAAATAATCACTACTTTAAACAATTTTCTTTTTTAATATTTTCCACATAAATATTTATTTTTATTTAAATAAAAATATTTTTTTACACCAAATTAGTCTTACAACAATTAAATGTATAAACTTTATTATTTTTTTCTAAAAGACATGCCAATGGCAATTTGTATTTTGTATATATTAAGATAAGAAAAGTTACATAACTCCTCCACTTTTTTAAACTGGAAAATACTTCCTTAATACTACGTCGTAGTAAAGTTAATGGAGCTAAATATACCAACGCAAGGCTGTTTCGCAGTCTCGCTCATTTTACTGATGCTATCATTGCACATTATTATAACTTCCACGATTCCGCTGTATCACAACCAGTCGCGAACGATATATAGTTAAGAGTACATCGATTTATCCGATCAAGCGTCATTTATCGTTCAAGAGAAACAAAATGACCGTCGTGCTAGTATCTCTGATTCTTGGGGCGCTTATAGCCTTTTACTTTTACTTGACGCGAAATTATAAGTATTGGCAAAAACGTGGAATTCCGTGCGTGGATGGAGCTCTGCCAGGATTCGGTAATATGTTATCGGTGATCTTAATGAAGACGGATCTTAGTGAGTTATGTCGCAAGATCTACAATGATAACAAAGGTCACAGCATGGTCGGTCTCTACGATTTTATGTCACCAGCATTGATGGTCCTCGAACCCGAGCTAGTCAAAACAATAACACAAACCAATTATTCAAGTTTCGCTAAAAACGCTATCGATATTAATCCCGACTTAGATCCGCTCCTAGCACATAATCCCTTCGTCCTTACTGGTGAGAAATGGGTGCACAACAGAAAACGTTTGTCTTATGCATTCTCCAGCATGCGATTGAAGATCCTGCTCGAAAGTGTTAAACAAGTGTGTACAACGTTTGAAAATTACATGAATGAAAAGCTGAACAATAACCAGACAGAGTTCGAACTGAAGAGCTTGTTCGCCAGGTACACAGCACAGGTGGTAGCCGCTGCTGGTTTCGGCGTTGATGGATTCTGCTTCGATGACGAGAAAAAGGATATGTCCTTCAGGAAACTCGGACAAGCCATTTTCGAGCCGTCTTTACGAAATTCAATCGTGTTTGTTGCCACGTTTCTCATGCCATCGTTAAACAAAATCTTTAAACTAGGCGTCGTTCCGAAGCACGTAGACAATTTCTTCAGGACACTGGTTGCAGAACTCATGGAGCAAAGAAGAAAAGACGGAATACCTAGAAACGATTTTCTCCATTTGATGGTCGAACAGGAGCGAGCGGAAGACGATAAATTCGACCTTGAAATGGTGACGGCCCACGCAATGTCGTTCATCGTCGATGGCTATGAGACCACCAGCAGTGTCATGAGCTTTATCGGATTTGATTTGGCCCGTCACCCAGAAATACAGAATAAATTACGGGAGGAGGTGTTATCCGTACTTAACAAATACAACGGAGAAATCACTTATGAAGGCTTGAAAGAAATGACATACATGGACCAAGTCTTAAACGAGACACTGAGATTGTTACCCGCAGGCGTGATTATGAAGAAACGATGCACGGAAAAGTTCGAACTGAAAGGATCCGATGGAATTGTTTGTCATGTAGAACCTGGAATGGAGATTCTAATACCAGTTCAAGGTCTGCAAAAAGATCCTCAATATTGGGAAAATCCCGAAGAGTACGATCCTGAAAGATTCAGCTCGGATAGGAAACACAGCATCGATCGATTCGTGTTTCTTCCATTTGGCGGAGGTCCTCGAGCTTGTGTCGGTATGAGAATGGCTCAACTACAAATAAAAGCAGTTTTGACTGTAATTTTAAGAAAATATAGGATGGAATTATCCCCGAAAACGCAAATACCTTTAAAGATAATTCCTGGTAACGTTTTACCAACACCGCTAGGAGGACTGTGGGTTTATTTTCAGAAGCTTTAAATGTAAATATCTTTTTTGTAATAAATTTCTTTCTAGCTTTCAGTGTCTAGTTTCTAGCGTCATGAATAATTTTTATGTCCGAAGAAAATATTTGTGTAATCTTCACATAAAAATGAAATTCTTTTCAAATTTAATCTATTTTAATTATTGTATTTTTATACAAAAATAAAAAAGGTGAAATGTTATTATTTTTTATAAAATATTTTCTTATACGTATATTTTTAGAAATTCTTAATTCATTAAGAAAGTAAGGAAGATTTCTTTGTAATCTTTGTACAGAAATTAAAGATCAGGATATTTGCAATTTTATAATTCTCTACAATGTTTCTTATATACTTTATATAGGATGTTCCATTCAGACATAATAAAAAATTCACAACATAATAGTTTCAATGATAAATATTAATTATAAGAGCAGCTTCGAATTTTTTAAATAAAATTAGCGATTTGGACATGTAACGTATGCGCAGAAGCGATCTATTTCTGTCATTACTGAGCGGTTTCTACGTCGCCATATGGACAACAGCAGAAAGCTTTTATGAGTTATCGCTTGCGCAATTAAAATCCATGATGGCACGTTTCAACTCGCAAACGACACAATACACTTTCCCCTGTGGCATTCACATGGCGATTGAAACAATAGGTGCACCCAGTAGCACAACTGCTTACTAAGCGGCTGAGTATCAATTTCATTATGCAATTGAATTTAAATGTTGGTTCTAAAAATAAAAGCCAGTCATATTTAATTGCTGTTTAATAGCTTAGTGAGAGGTTGCGCTGCTAGACACACCCAATGCAAGAGGCATAGACAGCTTCTGCATATGTTCAATCAAATCTGTATACTCTCGATAAAATTACTGAATTTGTAACTTTATAAACAAATATTATACGAATTTAGATAATGAGAATAAATCTAATTAAATACGAAAAATTCTACATATTTCAATTTTATATAAATTCACACAAGATATATTTAAACATTAAGACTTCTTTGATTATCGAATATAGGATTTATATATCGAATATAGGATTTTTCGTATTTAATTATATTTATAAAAAAATTCCAGGTCTATCCTTTACAGTGATATCCACATTTTAACATTAGAACTAGTATTTTGTATGTGTTACATCTTTTAATTAATAATAAAATGTCCAGCGTTGATTTTCATGCTTCCAATGAATTATTACTGATTTAATCATAAAAAGCCTTTATTGCTATAAATTTTTCATTTATCATATCGTTATCATTTAAGCAAAACAGTGAATATATAATAATTATAAGTTTTTAATCTAGTAAGAAAATAAGAATTTTACCATATTCAGATAATGTATTTTTATATAAAAATAAAGAAGTATTAAAAATTTTGAAATTCTTTATAATATTCGTTTGTATGGTCAATATATATAATAAGTTTTACAACTCCTGATTTTATTACTTTCCTAGAAAATTGTCAAAAATACGTTTAACATCTAACATCTTTGTGTTATTATTAATCATAAACTATTTATTTAAAAATTACGCAATTTATGTTATCATAAAAAAAATATTTAGAGAAAAATATTAGGTGTTGGAATTAATTCGTAGCGTTTTACAAGTGATGGGAAGTACTTTCATTAATGTATTTTTTAATGCTCATGTGAAATAAATAACATTCTTTCATTAAAAAACGCTATGAATTAATTCCAACACCTAATATTTTTACACATTCTAGAATGACAATTAATCACAATATAAGCGACATTTGTGGGTGCAACTGGGGCACGAATTTCATAAAAATAGAATAGCAAACAGCAAATAAATAAATTACTTCGGATGCTTCAACGTCACACGATACCATCCACACATCCTTCTCCTTCTTCTCTTCCCGTTTACATATCCCATCTCAGTATTTCTTCACAGCGTTCATACGCATTTACGATAAGATCAACAGAGATTCTACGCATACATATGTAAATCAAATAAGTATAATACGTAAAATATTCTGAAAGCCATATTTATAATAAAATATATAATAAAAATATACAAATAAGTTTCGTCTCGTTTGATATGTAATAAAATATAAACAAGTTTGGCCTTTTTATGAAATACATAAATAGTAATCTATCTCTTAAAATATACAGCAAATAGCAATAACAGAATAGCAACCTAATAAATCTTTTATGTCTATAAATAGAAATCCTTTTAAATATTAGCTGGTTTATTTTATTTTATAATTTTTACACTGAAGACAAACGCATTGACGAAAAAACTAGCAACGACCCTGCACATATCTATCACCAGAATGACAATTATGTAACACTGAAACGCAATAGACTCTTTATTGCAGTTGAAAGATAGCGTGGAGAATACAGTTCCGCGAAGAAACGATTTGCTTGAAAATTGGTATCTTGTATAGAAGATATATATTTTGCGTGAACAGTTAAGGTTATGCGATCAGTTTCACGTTTTGCGCCAGAAAACGTGAGTTAATGTAATTGATGATTGACAAAAATATATAGTCGTAATAACGTGATTTAACATTCCAAGTGCAATACATTTTATAATAACTTGCATAAATCTCGTAGCAAATTATTTATAATGCGTATCACTGTAAGTATGTATACAATTATGAATATTAACCAGTTTTTTGATTCTCATTAAAATCATTCAATCCACCATTTTTTCCAAAAATGGCGAGCAAATTAAATTCAAATCATCAAAAAATTGAAAAAAAAACATGAAAAATATATTTAATATAATTAAACATTAAATCTTTATCTTTTATCTCTTTAATTCTAAATAGCTGTACAAATTGCGATCACTTTGATAATATCAATTGCGAGATCATTTACCGTTAATTGACAGCAAACTATACCATGCAATAACATTTCCTTTTTTCATTTGTCATCATTAAGAAATATTTAACATGGAATTATTTTGCACGCATCGGACAAATACATAGAATCCTATTTGTCATTTTAGATGATATTATATAATCAGTAATGTATTTCATTGATGATACTGTTATGCATCATATGCAGTGCTAAATTGCGAATTGTCTCGAACTTCTACATACTTATCTTCATAAAAGCTTCATTTATCAAAGTAATAGAAAAGCATGAAAGATAACATCATTGAACTACTGGAATTTATATACAATGAGTTTTCAGAATTGTGCATTTTCAACGTGTATGCTTTACTTAATTTATTATTGTAAAAGTTTTAAATATATTATTAATAATATTTTAATAAAACTCGATTTTTAGACTTATCTCTTACCATTTTGTTTAAATAAGAAAAAATACGTAACAACAATTAAATACATAACAACAGTTAAATAAAAAAAAGTTTATTTTCTTATTTAACATTGCAATAAAACTCTGTATGTATAATGTAATGGAGATACGTAAAACATAGAAAACGACAATAAAGTGAAGACTGCATTTGTAGAAGAACGAATTATTAAAAAATTTTTTAATATGCTAAATATGCATATTTTTTTATATTTACTTTTTAATGATGGGGATATAAATATGAGGATCAATTTAGTTTTCGCAATAGAGAGAAAATGTTAGTTACAACATTATGGAATAATAAAGTTCATTTGGCGGAATCATTAATAATGCAATATATATTACTCTTTTAAAGTCTTATTCATTCTCCCGACTTATCACCGCTATCAATGTAATCTAGTCTCAGCCGCATCGCTACAACACGACCTGCAGTCCTGAATGATACGTGGTCAAGGCTACATCGATTTATCCGATCAAGCGTCATTTCTTGTTCAAGAGTAGCAACATGACCATCGTGCTGGTGTCTCTAATTCTCGGGGCACTTATAGCCTTTTACTTTTATCTGATGCGAAATTACAAGTACTGGCAAAAACGTGGAGTTCCATGCGTGAATGGAGCCTTGCCGGGTTTCGGTAACATGCTATCGGTAATCTGCATGAAGACGCACATCGCCGATTTCTGTTGCAAGATCTACAAGGACAATAAATGTCATAGCATAGTCGGGATCTATGACTTTACATCACCGGCGTTAATAGTCATCGAACCGGCACTAGTCAAAGTGATACTGCAAACCAATTTTTCAAGTTTTGCCGAAAATGCTGTTCATTTTGATGAAGAATCAGATAGTCTCCTGTCATATAATCCCTTCGGTCTTTCCGGTGAGAAGTGGTTAAACAGCAGAAAGCGATTGACATACGCATTTTCCAGCATGCGATTGAAGATCCTGCTCGAAAGCGTTAAAAAAGTGTGCGCGACGATGGAGAATTACATGGATAGAAAGTTAAGTAACAGAGAGACAGAGTTCGAACTGAAGAGCTTATTTTCCAAATACTCGGCGCAGGTAGTAGCTGCCGCTGGCTTCGGCGTAGATGGATACTGCTTTGATGATGACAAAAAAGATATATCTTTTAGAAAACTCGGACAAGCCATCTTCAAACCATCGAAACGAAATACAATTATGTTCGCTCTTGTATTTCTCATTCCATCGTTAAATAAAATCTTGAAACAAGATCTCATTCCAAAGCACGTCGACAACTTCTTCAGGACGTTGGTTGCAGACCTTATGGAACAAAGAAGAAAAGATGGAATACCTAGAAATGATTTTCTTCATTTGATGATGGAACAGGAGCGAGCGGAGGGTGAAAAATTCGACATTGAAATGATCACGGGTCATGCGATGTCGTTCATTATCGACGGATATGAGACGTCTAGTAGTGTTATGAGCTTCATCGGGTTTCATTTGGCTCAGTACCCATACATACAAGAAAAATTACGTGAGGAAGTGACATCTGTGCTTAACAGATATGGTGGTGAAATCACTTACGATGGCTTGAAAGAAATGACATACATGGACCAAGTCTTCAATGAGACGATGAGGATACTTCCTGGGGCGCTAATGAAGAAACGATGCACGGAAGAATTCGAACTAATAGGATCTGATGGAGTTGTCTGTCGCGTCCAACCTGGAATGGAAATCCTGATACCGCTTCAAGCTCTGCACACAGATCCACAATACTGGGAAAATCCCGAAAAATATGATCCTGAAAGATTCAACTCAGATAGAAAACACAACATTGAGAAATTTACTTTTCTTCCCTTCGGCGAAGGTCCGCGAATCTGTGTGGGTATGAGAATGGCTCAGCTTCAAATAAAGGCAGGTTTGGCTATGATTCTGAGAAAATATAGAATGGAATTGTCACCGAGGACACAAATACCATTAAAGATGATTCTTGGAACGTTTTTACCAACACCGAAAGGTGGTTTGTGGGTCTATTTCCGACAGCTTTAAGTACAAATACTTGTTTTAAATTTCTTTTTCAAACTTTCAATGTCATAAATATTTTTTCAGAATAAAGATTTTTAACTTTACATAAAAAAATACAATTCTCTGCCATTTTAGTCATTTTTAATTACTGTATCTTTATTCAAAAATAGGAAATACTTAAAATTTTATAATTGTTTATAATGTAACGCTTTTTTACGCAAATATTTTTATTAACTTTTGATTGTGAAAGATAAGTAAGAATTTAATAAACTTTACACGTAAATAATAGATTGAAAGATAGTTGATATCATATATTAAACATACTTTCTAAGTTTATGTATAAACATAATACATTGTAATTATAAGATTTGTAGGAAAATTTATGTAGAAGGATTATAAGAAGTTAAGAAGATAATAATTTTATCAATTTCAATCAGTATCTCTTACAAAAAATAAAAAATGAATATATTCAAAATTTTGCTGTTATTTTTAGAAAATATTCTTTTGTAATAATAATAATATTAAGTCCTTTACACTCCCAATTTCACGTTAATTTCGCATAAGAAAGCGTGAGTTAATGTAATTAATGATTGACAGAATATATAAAGTCATAATTTAACATTGCACGTTCAATACACTTCGAATAACTTACAGAAATCTCGTAGCAAATTATTGATAACATGTACTGTATGTGTATCACTGTTTGTACGTATACAATTACATATCAATATTCTGATATGCTTTGAAATTAACTGCAGAAATTAATTTATTACTGTAATTGGCCGCATACTATGTAATAATTATTTTTCTTGTAACTGTTATCACTGAAAAATATATAACACGGAATACACGTGGAACAAATTTGCATATATGAGACAAATAGAAAATCTAGTGATAATTTTATTATTATGTAACGCGTGTTTCAGCGATAATGCTATGATGTTATTGCAATGCTGAGTTGCGATATGTTTTGAACTTTGTCATATTTACTTCTTTAAACGATTAACTTATCGAGCTAACAGAAGCGCTTAAAGAATAATAATATCATGGAATAACTAGAATTTGTTACTATTTATATAATAAATTTTCATAGATCTGTACGTGTTTTTAATATTTAATTTTCATAACTCATTTTGTTTTAAATTAAATGTGATGTCTTGAAAACTAGAATTTTAAACATTTTTTTCGCTATTTTTATTTAAATAAGCAAAACAATATGTAACAACAATTATAACTAAATTACCAGCTCGTTGTTTATTAATTGTTGTCGTCTAATGTAGAATTTTTTATGTACATTGCAGATATATCAAATATATAAAGCGACAGTAAAAATATATGGACACTCTGATAAAGATTTTAATCTTATTTTATACCAATCACACTTATTTATATTATAATTTATATATATGTATGTACTGTGTGTGTGTGTGTGTGTGTGTGTGTGTGTGTGTGTGTGTGTGTATTGGATACTTAAATATAAGCATTACACATAAGTTACACTAATATTATTATTAAGATAATAATAATATTAATAATAATAATAACTTGCACAAATATAATAGAAATTATACAAGTTACATTGCAAAAAGGAGGTACTGCTACCACTGTAAATCCTTCATGGCCGTAGGTGGGACAATGATCAGAGTAAAATTGTGAGTACCAACGATGATATACTTGGCTGATGAGATCCTCGCGCAACAGCATCGGATGTTGCTCAAATCTCTTAGAGTTCCAGATTTTAATGTTACGCTCAAACATCACACATTCGCGTGAAAAAACAAATTAGCGTATGGCGCCAGCAGAGGTGACGAGAAGATCAGATAAATCACCCGTTGTAGCAGCAGTTCGATCAGCGTTATTGTTAACAAAATGTACAAAGATCCAAACGACGTATTGACATTTAGCTCGATGATGCCAGGTCTGATTTGCTCAGCGCGTACATCGGACTCCATTATGCTAAAACGTTCTAAAAGCATCAATTTGTGGCACAAGTGCACATTGGCCTTGTGCTTCTCCCTACTTCTGTCTCTGTTTTGCGCAACTGTGAAGTGATGATTTCCGTTGTCATTTTCAATTGGATGGATTGACACTCCTTTTTGACGCTCGTCTTTATTGCTTCATCTTCATCCTTATCCATCTGATTGTCATATGAGCAGTTAGGCTGCCATCTTGTGTAGGTGATAAGTGCCGAGCTAACCAGGAAAACTCGCCAAAGAGGAATATAGGTGGACTATGCAGCTCGTTGAGATACCAGGCCCACGATATCAGGTCCATTCTCAGTTATCCTAATGCTCAGGTCCACATATTAAATTTACTGCCTATTTATTGTCTCTTTACTCGCTAAAGAACTCATTCTTTCTTGAACTAATGCTTTCTTGATGCAATGTCATTTGTATAAGCAACAAGAAATAATTTAAAATGATATTCTTTTAAATTAATCCCTTCTATTATATACATATATATCAATTTTATCATTAAAATATTTTTATCACTGCGTTTTCAACACATTTAAATATTCAATACTAAAATGATCGAAAATTTTTTAAACATATTGAATATTATTTTCTTCCTTCAATGATTATAAAAATCAATTTCTTCTATACAATTGTAAGAGAATGTTATTTAACATTAATATAGTAAAGTTTACTTGGCGATATAAATCGTGTACACAAATTTTATTATTCAGTCTCGCTCGTTTTATCGACGCTATCAATGTACTTTAATGTCAATTTTATTACATGACGACCAGTCGTAGATGATACGTGGTGAGGGTCACATCGATTTATTCGATCAAACGTTACTTGTCGTACGAGAGGAGCAACATGACTGTCATGTTAGTGTCTCTGATTTTCGTGGCGCTTATAGCCCTTTATTTTTATTTGACGCGAAATTACAAGTACTGGCAAAAACGTGAAGTTCCTTATGTGGATGGAGCCTTGCCGTGGTTCGGTAACATGTTATCGGTGATCTGTATGAAGACGCACATCGCCGATTTCTGTTACAAGGTCTACAAGGATAATAAGGATCACAGCATGGTCGGGATCTATGACTTTACGTCACCAGCATTAATGGTCATCGAACCGGCACTAGTCAAAGTGGTGCTGCAAACTCATTTTTCAAGTTTTGCCGAAAATGCTGTTCATATTGATAAAGAATCAGACAACCTCCTGTCATATAATCCCTTCGTCCTTTCCGGTGAGAAGTGGTTAAACAGCAGAAAGCGATTAACATACGCATTTTCTAGCATGCGACTGAAGATCTTGCTCGTTAGCGTTAAAAAAGTGTGTGCGACGATGGAGAATTACATGGACAGAAAATTAAGTAACAGAGAGACAGAGTTCGAACTGAAGAGCTTATTTTCCAAATACTCCGCGCAGGTGGTAGCTGCTGCTGGCTTTGGTGTAGATGGATACTGCTTTGATGATAGCAAAAAAGATATATCTTTTAGAAAACTCGGACAAGCCATCTTCAAACCGTCAAAACGAAATAGAATTATATTCGCTCTTGTATTTCTCATTCCATCATTAAATAAAATCTTCAAAATAAGCTTCGTCCCGAAGTACGTTGATAATTTCTTCAGAACATTGGTTGCAGAACTCATGGAGCAAAGGAGAAAGGACGGGATACCTAGAAACGATTTCCTCCATTTGATGGCTGAACTGGAGCGAGCAGAGGGGGATAAATTCGATAATGAAATGCTTACAGGTCAAGCAATGTCATTCGTTCTCGACGGTTACGAAACGTCTAGCAGTATTATGAGCTTCGTCGGATTTTATTTGGCTCGTTATCCAAAAATACAAGAGAAATTACGCGAGGAAGTGATATCCGTGCTCAACAAATACGATAGTGAAATCACGTATGAAGGTTTGAGGGAGATGACATACATGGACCAAGTCATTAATGAAACGATGAGGTTAATACCCGCAGGATTGTCAATGAAGAAACGATGCACGGAAGAGTTCGAACTGAAAGGATCCGATGGAGTCGTCTGTCGCGTGCCACCTGGAATGGAGATTTTCATACCAGTTCAAGCTCTCCACAAAGATCCTCAATACTGGGAAAATCCGGAAGAATACGATCCTGAAAGATTCAATTCGGACAGAAAACAAAACATCGATAGATTCACCTTTCTTCCATTCGGCGAAGGCCCACGAATCTGTGTGGGCATGAGAATGGCCCAGCTGCAGATAAAGGCGGGTTTGGCTATGATTATAAGAAAATACAATCTGGAACTATCCCCAAAGACGCAAATGCCTTTAAAGTTCATTCCTGGCACCATATTACCAACACCAAAAGGCGGTCTGTGGGTCTATTTTCGGCAGCTTTAAATATTTTCTTTTAATTTTTGTTTTAATTTTTAATTGTGTATGTTTTTTTTATATTAAGACAAAAGATTGTAATTCATTTTTATGTAAAAATGATGTTCTTTTCAAAAACAAATTTTGTCAGTTTTAATACTGCATCTTTATATAAAAATTGGAAAGATATTTGTTATTTTCTTATGCAAATATTTTCATAAACTCTTAATTAAGCAAGAGAATAAACAAGAGTTTAATCATATTTATGCAGAAATAAAATATCAGAGAAATTAGAATTATATGTAATTTTTAAAATTTTTTATTCAAATATTATAATTGTAAGTTTAATAAAAAAATAAAAATTTTATCTTTAATTACTGTATATATATTTTGAAAAAAATAATAAATTTAAAATTTTTAAAATTTTGCAATTAAAAAAATGTATTCTTGTACAAACATCAATAATAATAATAAGTTCTCTCTTGCTAATTCTGACTATTTAATACGAAATAGTCAGAAGTATATTTAAATGCATATTTTAAATAAATCAAATTTGTTCTACTGTTAATTGTTAATTATTTAAAAATTTCATAAATTTTGGTATCATCATGTATTTCAGAATATAACAAAAGATTAAAAAAAAGACTTAGAAAAAAATATTTTCTCACATCCTAGTACAAAAATCATATTATATAAATACAATTAATTTAAAAAAATGGTAAATTATCAAAATATATACACACTTTTTAACAAAAAAAGCCTAAGTCTGTACAAAATTTTTTGTTAAAGGATCATTTCACGCACGATGTGCATGTAATGTATTACTTATTTTCATTTTTCATTAAATGTAAGATAAAGCTATATAATGAATTACGTGTCCATCACTGCTTGGAACAAAAGAAATATAATAAAAAAAAACGCATCTTTTGTATAAAACGCTACAAAATAGCGCATGGAAGGTGCCATTTGTGTCATTTATGATCCGAGAACGATTAATTTCACAAGTAAACAGCAAATAAATAAAATACTTACACTTCGGTCACCGTCTTTCACATCTCCTTCTCTCCCTCCACTCTCATATCTCATCTGTTCCATCGTAGCATTCACAAACACGTTGGCGAAAAGACTAGCCGCGACCTTGCACATATCAATCACCAGAATGACAATTGTGTGACACTGAAACGCAATAGACACTTTATTGTATTATAGTTGAAAGGTAGCGTGGAGAAATACAGTAGAATATACAGTTGCGCATGTTTAACATTCCACGTGCAATACATTTTCAATAATTCACATAAATTTTGTAGAAAATTATTTATAACGCGTATCACTGTAAATATATATACATTATGAATATTAACCAGTTTTTTTATTCTCATTAAAATTATTCAATCCACCATTTTTTCCAAAAATGGCGAGCAAATTAAATTCAAATCATCAAAAAATTGAAAAAAAAAAAAAATGAAAAATATATTTAATATAATTAAACATTAAATCTTTATCTTTTATCTCTTTAATTCTAAATACCTGTACAAATTGCGATCGCTTTGATAACATCAATTGCGAGATCATTTACCGTTAATTGACAGTAAACTATACCATGCAATAACATTTCCTTTTTCCATTTGTCATTAAGAAATATTTAACATGGAATTATTTTGCACGTATCAGACAAATACATAGAATCCTACTTGTCATTTTAGATGATATTATATAATCAGTAATGTATTTCAATGATATATTTCAATGATGCATTTCAATGTTATGCGTCATATACAGTGCTGAATTGCGATTTATCTCGAACTTCTACATACTTATCTTCATAAAAACTTCATTTATCAAAGTAATGGAAAAGCATGAAAGATAACATTGAACTATTGGAATTTATATACAACGAGTTTTCATAGATTTGTGCATATGTTTTCATGTGTATTGCAACCTAACGAGCGTTATTTGATTTATTTATTTATTAGCTATCTGAAGACAAATTTTCACGAGCTGCTCAAACAGGCTGTTTCAGTGACAGAAAGGATTACGTGGTCAAAATTGACAAATATCAAATATCAACTTTGATCAGGTGATCCTTTTTATTGCTGAAACAGCCGGTTAGAACAGCTCGTAAAAATTTACCTTAAGACTTAATTAAAAGTAAAACTTGATTAATACATTTTATGGTATAAGGTATGTTCTCACAGTAGCCATCTTCTCCGCGAAACTTCCAGTTATGAAAGGGACATTCCAGACAATCTCCTTTGACACGACCACCCTCGGCCATATTTGCCCCTAAATGAGAACAATGCGTCCAAAATGTTGATAACGCCTCTTTCGATTTTTGAAAAAATTGATAAAACGTTACATAATAAATACTCAGCAAACAAGAATGGATTGAAATGGATTAAAATGGATTTAGATTTTCAGAAATACGGATTCATGAATGTTAAAATAAATCCTTTTCAATTCTGAATGTATTTTTATTCATTTATACTATTTATAGGAATGACATGGAACTGGGCTTATCGAGCTGGTATATAGAAATGCATGGAAGACAAAAATGTCAATGAATAACTTACGTTTGTATAGTACACTATATATACAACAAATTTTCATCGATCTGTGCATATGTTTTTACATTTACTTTTTATAATTAATTAAAGAAAATATTTATTAAAATAAATCTAAAGTTGCAACTCAAATTGCCAATGAGATTTTGTCGCGCTATTAATGTCGAAATTGTATAATAATTGTTACCGTAATACAAAGTTCATAAAAGCTGACAAATTCAACTGGACAGACATTTTCTTGTTCGAGTTCTCTTCAATGCAATGAGATAAAGTTAAATAATTCCAATCTCTCCTCTAATACAATCAATATAATGAAACCACTGATAAAATTTCTGATCAAACATAGTCATTACATGAGACATCCGGAATAAACTAAATGATTCCGTACCGTAATCTTATGGGAAAATGTCTTTCTGCGAATTTAGCTAATTTTTAGATATGTTGTAATTCTCTTCAATCTGAATAAATGTCTCAATAGGAACAATTTTAACCTATGAGCCGTTTAAAGCTATCTGAGATTTTTATGAACCTTAGACTTTTAAACAATACTTTCTTTTGCTATTTTTTCTAAATAAGTGAGAAAATAAAAATGATTAAAGGTGAAATGAAGTTCATTTTCTTATTTATTCATTATTGTCTAGTATAAAATTTAGTATATACATTGCAAATATGCCAAATCATATAGCAATAGCAAAAAAGGAAAAAATTCAAAGAGCGCATCTGGAAAATGATCGAATCGTTAAAAAATTTTTTTAATATGTTTTTAATATGATATATATATTTTCTTATATTCTCTGTTTAATAATCGCAAGGATCAATTGAGTCCTTGCAATGAAGAGAAGATATTAGTTACATAGTAATGACGTTCACTTGGCGATGGAAATTGCCAATGCGAAATTTATTACTGTTATGTAGTATCGCTCATTCACTTGGTTTATCTACGTTATCAATGTGATGTAGCTTCAACCATTTTGCAACATCATGACTAGTGATATGCTCAAGTGATATGCTCAAGGTTACATCAATTTATCTGAACAAGCATCATTTCTCATCCGAGAGCAGCAACATGATCACTGTATTGGTGTTTCTGATTCTCGAGGCTTTATCTTTATCTGATTACAAGTACTGACAAAAATTTGGTGCATGAATGGAATTTTCCCGGGATTCGGCTACACGTTGCCGGTAATCTGTATGAAGACGTATCTTAATAATTTTTATATGTATGTCCCAATACGAAAATTGCAGTTTGAATATTCTATGCACTGTGTATAACTGAACATGAAACTGAACAGGAAACGATGAATTTTATAAATAGCTAATAGCAAATAAATAAGTGTGCTTTCCAACAAGCGACACAATGATCATATCATCTTTGTTTAACATTGGTAAACAAATAAGGATGTATAATAATAATTCATTGTGTCATTTGATTCGTGTTGGAAGGCACACTAATAAATTATTTACCTTTCGAATGCTTCGCTGTCGTATGATGCCTTTCATATCTCCTTCTCTTCTTTCTTTTTCCGTTCTTATATGTAATTCCTGCGGTTTCATGGCGCTCACACTTGCGAAAAGGCTGATTGCGACCTTGCATAATCAATACCAAAATATGACGATCGTTTGATACTTTGAGTACACTAACACTTCGATTCTGTCATATTTCTAAAAAATTATCAAATTATCTTTAATTATTTATGGTTGGTGAACTACATTATGGTTTGAGCTACTAGAAATTATAAATTATATTGTAATATTTAAAAATTGCACAAGTCTCGTTATCATAGTTTAGAATACATATTCCTAAAATTTATATACAAATATTGACAAGAAAATAAATTGCACTCATCCTAGTACACAAGTCACGATATTATGCATTATACATAATTTAATTTCTTATATGAAATTTAATTTCGAAAATTTT